TCACTTTTTTGGATGGCAAAAGTCTCAGTCTAACCTGGTCTAACATAAACTGGAACCCCACCCAAACCCAAACTAAAACAAAATTAAGCTTTGAAAAACTCTGGTGCTCATTGATTCTGTATTATTTTCCATTTTCTTCCGTAGTTGAGATGGATACAGAAGTGTCAATATACTAAGGCTCATATCGCAGCTATTTTTGACTGTATGCAGTAGTCACTGCAGAGGCGTGTGAAAATGGAAAGAATACGAAAGCAAATCAACCAAATACACAGAGGCAAATATGATCAGTGCTTAAAAACCAATAGCCTAAATGATTTTATTAATTTTTATGCCTCTTAGATCCAAACCTCATATTTTAAATCTAAAATGCAACTGTGAACTCAGGAAAAAATAATCTTCTCACTAGAACAAGAAGGTCCAAAAAGATTCTAACACAAGCCTGGTAGGTCAACAACCACAGAAGAGCGTGGTCCAGCTTTGGCACAATTGTGTCTGGCACAACCAACTATACTGTCCAGCACCCCACTTTGAGCATCTCTGAGAATGCTCATCTATCACGTGGTGGGGACCACTTCTGTCTTTGCAGGGTCTTGAAATTTTGAGATGAAAATTAAAGGCAGGTGGTTTAATCTTCTCTTGGTTGAAATGGCTGTGATAAAAGTGCAGTCTGCGTTGGGCACCTGTGTGCTCCTTGTCCTCGAGCAGTACACCTAACCTTGTCCAACATCATGCACTGAGGACTTAGAAATGACTGTTATAATTTATCCGTTTCCTTCCTTTCCAACCCTGTGAGAATTGATTTGATTATTTGGGAAGGTGTGGGCGCATATCTGAGAAAGGGGCAGATCCAGGGGAACCCACTATGAGAGGGCCAAGCTAGGGAGAGAAGTTTTGCAATGAGTTGCAACACATGAGGCTCCTGGCCTTACTTACCATGATCTGTGACCTGTGCTCCAGCCCTGGGAAAGTGGATTCTGTCGTATTTGTTAACCTTCCCTCCCTGGTTAACTCTCTCCCTGGTCCAGAGCATGGCAGTCCTGGGAGAGCCTGGGAGATCCTGTGCCTGGGGAAGAGACGGGTTCTGCATTTCCACTTCAATTATTCAGCAGATTTAGTCTGTTGAATGAGTAACCTCACAGATGCGTCTGTATGCAATCCACTGGTAGGATTTAGGATTGTAAATCAGCCAGCTACTATCACAGATCCCAATGTGGTAATCTTGAGAGCTGGCACTTATATTTACAGTAGGTTCTGGTGCCAGACCATGTACACATGCCACATGTGGCTATCTTCTCCTGTTCTGTCAAAGGTGATATGCGTTAACTATTCGAGCAAACGTATGAGGTATAGCACTGCCAAGAAATGGGAGCCTAATTGCTGTATTCTTTTAAAAAAGAATGCATTTGTAAAAATAAAATCATCTCCATTCAGTCAAATTACAAATTACAGTCAATTATCATTGCCCTCAAGCCAAGATCTACTAGCTCTGAATCTGATTTAACTCAGTTACTGAAGCACACTGGAAATGTCTGTCATTTTTGGGAAAAAAAATTGTTACCTTTTACTCCTTAGTAGTCAAAAGGATTTTGAAACAAGCTTAATGGGGGCAATTTTCTTCCTTCCATCTGTTGCTTTTCAAGATTAACAACCCTTCTTTTATTTTGGAATAATAGCTACCTGGTAGTCTTGGGTCACTGGGCTGTCTTCAAGGCATCATTGCATTCAGTTGCACATCCAATTAACTTTTATAGCTAAAATATATTTTTTCTTCTTTTTTTTCACCTGGTGCCATCAAAATACTAATTTGCACAAAGACAAATGCCCTAGGACAAAGACAAATACACACCAAACTATTGCATGCTTTCTCGAATCCGATGGTACAAGGATAGCTCCATCACAGTCTGCAAGAGGGTGGCCACATTTTCGTGCTTACTAGCTCACTTCAGTGTAAATAGACCCCGAAGCACACTGTGTTTCCCTTTATAGCTGCTCAATTTAACACAAGAAACCGCTGGAATAAGCTAGCTTTTTGATCTATAAAGCAGAGCTATAATTCACATTTTGTTCTGTTTTTCCTTCTTATCATCAGTGCTGTCAGAAGTCTCTTGATTCATTACTGTGGCAATGGAAACACTGAAACACTGAGACAGCAGCATGGGTAAATGTGGAAGATGCAACATTACTGAGCAAGACTATTCCAGGACACTGTGGGTGTCCCGGGAGATTACATTGCCGGAGGGAAATGCAGTCTTGCTGATGGGTAGCTTTAGGTCCACAGAAGCTTGTGAACAGGCCCCGGAATTATTTAACAGGGAGTGAGTGTAGAGAGCAGAGCACAGGGGAACAGGTTTTGTGGGAAAGCGAGCAGATACAACTTTTTAGCAACCTGATTTTTGAAACCACCTCAAATTACCCCATGCAAGTAGGTCTCAGCCAGTGCCTGTCACCCTGTACGTACTGTCACAGCTTGAAGGAGATAGGGAAGTGCAAAGTTGCCTCTAAACACTTCCGCCCTGCATTGGGAGCCAGAATCCCAAAACCTCCCGTCCCTAATGCTGGAAATGACAGAGCGGCAGTGAGTCCCAGAGTCAAAGCTGGTGACAAAGCCAGCTACGTACCATGGCCAAGTACTGGAAATCCAGTGGGAACAGAGACCCGTGTCAGATACTTGCCCGTAACCTCAACCCTAGCCCACCCAATTTGCCACAATGCACATTTAAAACCAAAACTCAAAATTCAGACTTTTCAAGAAGCTGAATAAGTGACAAAAAAGTTTCCACAGCAGCTTGTCAGGTTTTCCAGCCTCCTCAATGGCTCGCCAGCAGCCCCAGCTCTTCGCAGAGGACTCTGGGCCTCCCTGCAGCCCTGCCTGCCCGTGGGCAGGAGCTGAGCCTGAGGAAGTTGCCCCGTGCCCCGAAGAGCCGGGACGGACCCGAGGCAGATCTGGAGCGCCTGGCTCAGCCCTGCGGTCAGCCCGCAACGCTGCAGCACCGTGAAACACAAGGAATCATTTCAAAAAGAGGCTAAGGAAAGGATCCTGTAGAAATTTTGCACAGTCCCATTACTGGAAATCTATTTGACGTAGTGAACAAACATGGAAACTTTTCCAGGAAATGTGTTTCTTTATTTAAATAAAAATTAGTGCCAGTAGAAACAATAAACTTTAAATACATGAGACAATTATATACAACTCAATGCTAGGAATTATATACATCAGTTTTTTACAGATACAAATACATTTACCCCAAAAGTAAAAGGACGAAGGAGAAAGCAATGGAAAATGTGACAACTCGCGCATGTCAGTCTCATTTGGAAAGTTTCAGGATTCAAGTGATTCCAGGCAAAGTGCCAAACTTAATTTGGCTTCTTTCAAACTTAAAACAGCCCCTTTTGGAGTAAATCTACCAAAAAGCTTTATATGGTCTGATCCAAAGTTCACTGAAGTCGTTGGAAAAACTCCCACTGCCTTCAGTCTGAACTGAATCAGGCCCTTTCTGAGCACAATGGAGCCTTTGTTCTGCTGCCTTCAGAGAGCGACAGTGCTACCTCTGCAGGCCACGTCACATCGTATTAACCCTCCAAGCCAAAACCAGAGTTCTCCCTTCTAAATGGCAGAAGTACAGCAGCCTCGTGCCTCAGTTCATTTCTGCTGTTCAGCGTTCATATTTTTCAAGCTGTCTCTCAAGCTCTAATGCCAGTGGATAAATCACAGAGCTATTTTAGCGCAGGAAATATGTGGAGACATTTTGCAAACATTTTGCTGTGCAATGCTTTAGATTCAGACTCTTTAGCCCTCATGGTTCAGAACTAATCCAAACATTGTAATAAGTTATAAAATATAAGGTATGATTGAAATAATCATACCTTGCTACAATATTAACATTACTTCTTTTAACAGTGCAATAATTTAGTAACTAATTTCATGAGCATTTGAAAAAATCACAGTACCATTAAATTAGGGGGGGAAGTTTGTGGTAGTTTTAAAAACTAGTTACTAATGACTTTACAGAAATGCATGTGTCACATGCGAGCTGATAAAAAAAAAAAAAAGGATGTAATGCAATGTTTATCTACACTGGCTTAAATAAAGCAGAAAGGCCAGATTCTTTAATGATGTAGATGGGTACAGTTTTACTGACCTCAAATGGAGGATTAACTCCAACAGAGAAGCACAAAATCTTGTGCATGTCCCCTGAAGTCAGGAGGACTCAGCTGATGACTTCAGTGGGGCCAGGATTTCACCCTTGCTAGGTTAAATTCTATTCTGAATTCCACCTATTTTTCAAGGGGGCGTAACAGAGCAGCATTTGTTCAAGCCTTTCTACGTCTTACACCTTGAAACAAAGATCTTTTAATGTCTTTTTTTAACTTACAGATCTTTGCCTTTAGTGATCAAATGTACATGTCTTTAAAAAATACAAAAGCAAAAAACAAAACCACTTTTCCTACTAGTAACTCAATCAAGGGCTGGATTGCAGCAGAAGTTAGTGAACCTGACCCAGCCAGTACAGGTACAACTTAAGCAACAATAGATACAGTGGCATGGATCTGAAACTGGGCTTTACAAAAACCTCCTAGAATTCGGTGCCTCTTTTTTTTTTTTTTTTTTTGTTCTTTTTCTTTCATTTTTTCTGACCCTAAAGTCAGTTCCAGCCATGCTGCAATCTCCCTTCAACTACAGCATCGACAAATTTTCAGCTTTTGAGGCCTCACTGAGCAAATTTGCTGTTGGCTATGGTTTGTTATAAGAAAAACACAGTAAAAGTACTTCTAGTCTATCACAGTTTTGCGTGAATGAGCATTACCCATTGTCTTTAACAACCAGGCACTTGCGTTAGGGTAACTTCCCTAAACATTTCCCAGATATTTGCAGAATTCTGAAATATGCAGAGACATGCCAGTCATAGTTACCTCATTAGAAAATACATATATATTCTCCTTGTTCTTAGCTCTTATGGTAAGAAATAATAATGGAAAAATTAAAATTAAGCATCCCAATTATGTGCATGTTACACTTTGGTGTTGGGTACCACTGCTTCCTCATCCTGCCAGCTCTGAGGAACACCTCGGGCCTGGGGGCACAGATACCTGTTGAGAGTTCACTGGAGAGCAGGAAAGTAGAACCACAAGTTCTTAGTGGGAGCTCCACTCACGCTTTGGCAGCTGATCAAGGGAGCCCTGCAAGTGCTAGGAGTTCTTGTGGATGTTTTCCGCAGATCCCTCGCTGCTCTCGTTGAGGAGCGTTTCTGACACTTCCCCCAGTTCAGCATCCAGCACTTCCTCCTGGATGGTGAAGTGCACGTCTGGGGAGGAGGATTCGGAGCTCACACTGCTGCCTTCCATCGAGCAGATGGCGCAGGACAGGGACGGCACCATGCTCTCCTGCAGCATGTTCAGCATCATGGGGATCTGGACAGATTTCAGCCCCGATATGGTTGGTAGAGGCTTCACAGCTTCCCCCCATTCTCTCTCCTCATCTTTGTAGAGCAGAAGCAAATTGGACTTCTTCTCTTTTCTTTTGGATTTCATGTAGCCCAGCATTATCCCTATCAGGAAGATCCCGTAGAAAGACATGACGATCAGAATGTAAAAATACTCGTTGCTGTTGTTCTTCTCTGTGTTGCGGGATTCAGCATCAAGCATGGCTTGGGTCATGTTTGCATGGTCCATTTTCAGCATGGAAAGTGTTTTACCACAGCGAAAGCCTGGAGGAGAATATGTATGTATACGTAAGATCAAACTTCAGATCAAAGACGTAAAAGAAACATCTGAAAAAAGATACCCCCAAACTATTCCTTGCTACTTGTAATTTGTAAGCTTGCAGTCTATCATACTTCGCATTAATACTATAACTGAATGAACTGTTACTCAGATACAGAAAACATTAGAGGAAAGAAAATACGTAATATCAAATCATGTTGAGTTCTATGCTGAATTATAAAACCCCCAATCCACATGATTAAAGAAAGAAAACTATATAGAAATACTCTGCTAGGCACTTAAAAGTAGTTTTGTGCTACTTGACCATGTTTCCATAGGGAGGAAAAAAGTTAGAAGTATTATCGTATTCAATGGTGCAGGAAAAAAAAATCAAAAAGCAACTTACGTCGGTATGCAAATAATTCCTCCTTTTGCAAAGCTCAAGAGACCTTTCCTCTACCAAATGCCGGGTGTTCTGAAAACTTTCCTCTGCTGCAGTTGGAATAAATAGCTCTCAAGAAATGTTTCATCACGTGTTTTAGAGGCACAGTTTATAATAGTTTTGTGTTGGAGTCAACAGATGAACTTGAAGGATTGCAGTTCAACCCACTGAACTCTTAACAGCTGTGAAAAGAAAAAGAGTTGGGAATTCAGATTTTACTCTTTCCTAACCAGTTCAGCACTGGCTCTTTCACCTTCTGAATCTGTTCCTTTCGCTGCCATCCCAATTGCTAAATCTGACCTGTTATCCTGAGAGCTGCTGTGCAGAATGGAAAACCTGCAAACCATTATTCTGTGTCTGTCATAAAATATAGAAAAATATACACATGAATTTTATAGTAGACGCTATCAAGTTATTTACATGTCTGCTATGCATAGTTTTGCCTGAAGAGATGGGGAGGAAACTGGTTATTTTCTTTGCCTGGGACTAGTGACAAAGCTTTACAAAGTGTGTGCGAAACAAAGCGGTGACTATCAACTCCTGCTGCAGCTCCGCTTCACCACAAGGTGTGGGGCTGTGGGGAACTGGGCCCTGGGTCTCAGGTGAGTTTTGGATGGAGGGGTGCTGGTGCCACCTAACTTCGGCCATCAAAACAGCAACTATGGGATTTTGGTTCCCCATGTAACCAGCGGAAAGGCGCAGACTCCTCCAGGGCGGCAACTTGGAGCTCCTGAAGTTAGCAGCCCCCTTCTGCTACTGTTTGTAGAAGCAGCCAAGAGTTCCATGATCTGCACGCTGTTCATACACAGACCAGGACCACTGAGTTAACGCAGACTTTAGTATGAAGGGACGTTACCAACTTCTGGGCGGAGGGATGCTCTCTGAGAGACTGCTGGAGGCTGTTGCAGCTGGCTGCTGGGCTGTGCAGGACGTCTCCCAGACCGCTGGGGAGGGCAGAGTTAGGATGCAGGCTGGGTTGCGGGGCCCGCAGAGTTCCCAGTCATCAGCTCAGTGGTACAGGCTCTGAGACCCCTTTTCAACACGTAAGCAACAGTACAGGCCATGGGAAGAAGGAGGCCCAGCTTGCACCTTGGGGATTTCACTTCCTTCTTCTCTCCATCCCCGTTCTTCACACACAAAGCCCAATTAGTCAGGCCCCACATACGTGATGTGAATGTCACCCCTTCTGCAAAGCTTCAAGGATGTTTATGTAACAGGACACTCCACTTCTTCCAGAAAGTAGTCAACTGGTGCTGGAGTTTCCCAACGATAGGTCTGGGTTTTTTTTCCCCTGCAGTCACTTGTGGATTCTTTGCATAGACAGCAAATTCTTTTCCGTCCGAAATTCTGCCCTCACAATCCCTCTGAGGTAAAAGCAGATAGGATTAACCTCTCTTCACATGTAGGAAAAAGCAAGAGAGAGGAGTTAAGCAACTTTAAATGAAGTGAAGAATTCAAGAAAAGACAGAATTGTATCTGTGTTTGGAACCAGCATTTTCCATCATTCCTCTGAACAACTCCACAAAGAAAAGAAAAAAAAATTACATTAGCCAGATTCCCTTCTCTGCCCCTTAAAATAGAGGATCCACCCTTTAGGATGTTCATTTTATCTCCTTGCGCATTCCCATGTGATAGCTCAGGAGCTGTTGATGTTGGACTAACGTCTACTGGGATTTCATCTGACAAAATCTGTCTGCAGCACCAGCTTGCCAAGTCTGGATTCTTCTTCCCTGTTCCTGACAAATTACTAAGCAGGCAACAAGAGCATATTAACTGGTACGCTAAAGCATAACCCAGAGCAAGTCTCTGGATTTTCTAGCTAACTTTGGGGAATTTTTATTTCACATCTTTCTCAACTCCATGTGATATTTGCTCCCGCATTCAGCTCCAGAAATTTAGAATTTGAAAAATTAAAGACAATGTGTCAGGTTTTACCAACACCCTTTTACGCAGGACTTTCACAGAATGGTGAGGAAATGCCCAGCATTGTTGGGTCAATGAAAATTGGTCCAGTAGAAGGAGAAATCCTTGTATACCCTGGGAAACCAGCTCTGAAGCTGCTTGATCTTGGGAACAAGAAGACCTAAAGCCTGTCTTGCTGCCTCCTGTTGTCAGTACTATACACAGGTCATCACCCACCTCAACACAAAGAGCACTTTCAGGCACCCAGAGGCACCGACACCCCCCAGCTCCCACCAGTGAGCCAGCAGAGCAGGGGCAGACCTGCAGGTGCCCGCAGGTGGAAATAGGGTCTCTTATTTGCTCCAAAGCCTCATATTTTTCATGTAAGTGAAGCTCTGTACAAAGTTACCACGATGAACTGCAGCACCCAACAAGAGCACAGAAGGACTGGTCAGGTACATCCATAGATTTACGCAATCCCCCGAAGTTCAGCTGAAAGATGACTGAATTGCATAATTATGCATAGTTACTGCTGAAAACTCTTTGCAGCTATATTTACTTTGGCTAACTGATGACAACAACTCTTCTCCATCTGTTAGCCCGTGATTCTGAAAAACAGTTTAATTTTAAAAAGGCCTGGAAGGAATCCCTGAGCCTTCTGTAGACATGAAGAGGAGGGATAGGAAGACACTGGGGAATAACCACCTGAAAAACATATGCCACTTGCATACTGGTGCCATAAGTCAGCTTTCTCAAGCTGTACCCTGTAGAAACTGTATTTTTGTCTAAAAACAAGACCTAGAAAATTGAAGCCTTTTAATTTTGTGTTTAAAAATTACTTTTGTTGCAAATTATATTATGCATTGCATAATGTAAAACCACTGATCATGGCAAAAATACTTGCTTAATTTGAAGTAATTTATTTTTTGGAGTTAAGGTTACTAGCTATTTCTTGTTTGAGGTTTCTTTCTTCCTTTCAGATCAATTTTTTTTCCCCAAAACTTCACAAAATTTCCCCTGAAATTTCACTTACAGGTCTCTCGTGCTTTCAGCAATTGGCTCTCACACGTTCCTCTTCACCTTTGCATCACTCCCACCTGGGCTATAACATTTAAGAATAATCCTCATGCCTTTTCTCCCACCTTCCCCCTTTGGAAAACACTCAGACAAGTAAAGCAGAGCAACGGCCAGGCACTCCAATGATGAAAAGGTCACAACATAGCTGCTGATGCCAGATTTTTTTTCTCAAGGTCCCTGTCTCCTAGAGAGCCTTTTGTGGCAGCAACCTCCGTCACCAAAGGACGCAAAAGTTGAGGCTTGAGGCATCCCATGGGGCAGGAATTCTTCACAACATGGCTTAAGGGATAGTAAAATGTGAACCCTTTCTCCAAATAAAAATTTGAGGACAGTCAGAAAACTGAACAAAGACAGAATCCATTATGAAGACGACATGAAATGTCCTTAGAGACTCAGATGACTCTCTGCAGGCTGCCATGGAAAATATATGCCTAACCCTTCATTACGGGCATAATCCACGGTCTGATGCTGCATTTATCTTTTTCCACTTAGTGAGTTAACAAGACTAAAGATACAAGACACAACTGTTAAAGGGCTAGCTGCTATGGGAAGCTGAGCCTGTTTGATAAGTGTATGCTAACAGTATGACCTTAAGGAATATCTAAGCATGTGCATTTTTGGAAGCAATCATCTGAAAATCTGAAAAAAATTGAAAGAAAAGAGAAATGGGAAGGACAGAGGGGTTGGGTTTTTTCTTCCTGCATGTGGACCTTTAACAGAAGTAATGGTTGGGAATTTACCACTAAGGAGAAAAAGCGGGGGGAGTTTTGCCATGCAAATATTGACTTAGTTATGACTTAGATCTTCCAGACACCGCAGTTGGGAAAGGACAGCAAAGGTGATCAATATTTTTCACTCACATATATGATTTCAATTAAAGTAAAATTAAAGATCAAGAGCTGGGTTTGACACCATGGAGGAAGACACAACGAAAAGGGATGTTTGTGCCCTTGATTTGGTCTTGCGTTTAAAGACCTGCCATGCTGAGATGTACGTACTGACTTTTGGTCCTGCTGCAAAACACAAGCCTCACAAAACACACGAGGACCTGATCCAAAGCTCCTTGAAGTCAAAGCCCCTTGAAGTTAATGGCAGTGCCTCACCTAAAGCGAGTGTCAGATCAGGAACGGCACCTGCTCCTTTCAAGTTCTGTGCAACTCAGAGTAAATTTTCAGTGAAGCTTGTGAGTGTGTTGGAATACAAGAGCTAGTTCAAAAGCAGCAAGTCATGCACTCATTCCCAGAGTAGGGAATGAGTAGCAGCCCGACACAAGCCACATGCCTCCTCGCTAACAAGCCTACTTACAGTACGAAATTTATGAGCTTTACTATATGCTCTTAACGCTCTATGCCTCAGTTCACTCACTTGTAAAATGAATCTAATAATACCTACAAATTACATGTGCTGTGAGGGTACAGCATGGTAATGCACTTGCAGATCGCTACCTGAAAAGGTACTAACCGTTGTGTTCGTAAGCGCAACAGCATTACCACATGGCTGGGCTGGCATCAGAGCAATTCTCACACAGCTCTAGGTTCGGTGTCATTTTCCATCACTCTTCCTTATTTTTCATACTGCAGAAATAGATGACATTTTTTATATACTTCACGCAAGCGATTTCTAGAGGAAGGCGGCAATTTTCTCAGTGTCATTCACAATATACCATGTTACCATCTGGATACCAAATGCAAGTAACACTCTGCCTAGTTATTAACTGTGAAAAGCTTAGTAAAACACTCAGCTCTGCCTTACAATCTTCACTAGTGAAAACATGCAAATATAAGTCTAGAAGATGCATGCATCAGTCTTCTTTCCAACTTCAGCATTTAGTTTGCTTTAATTCAAATTTTATTTAACCTTCGTAGCAGATCCCCGTATCACGAAACTTCAAGTTTCTCAGGTGCTCCCTGCACCCAGAGCAGCAAAACCTCTCTCTTTATCAATGTAGCCAAAACGGGGTTCAGAAGCGCCTCACAGCCGAGGTGCCCTAGCGCTCTCAACTCCAGCAGTGGCAAGAGACTTCCCAGAAGTCACATC